CAGCACCGGCTGACGTGGGGACGCCTGGGGCAGAGCAGCTGGGGTGCTGCTGGGTTGGTCCGGAGTGGCGCTGCGGAACCAACCCGGCAGCCCCCAGCTGCTCTACCCCAGGGGTAGGCAAGAAAAGCCTGGTCTGCTGGGGGAGGGGGGGCACTAGCTGCACCCCCCCCCCCCCCCCAGCAGACCAGGGACACCAGAGCAAAGCCACTGCCTGGGCGGCTTTGCTCGTTTGCCCAGGAGCAAAGCCGCCCAGGTGGCGGCTTTGCTCGGGTGTCCCTGGTCTGCTGGGGGGGGCCCCCCCGCAGACCAGGGAAACCGGGAGAAGCTTTTCTCGCCCTGGAGGACACGGGTGGCGACCCGCCGCCTGTGAGCTCCAGAGCGAGAAAAGCCCCGTTCGTAAGTGCGGATCCGACATAAGTCGGATCCGCGTAAGTCAGGGACTGCTTGTAGTCAATAATGTTAACCAGTAAGTACCCGCTTATTGGTTAATCATTTAGTTGTCTGCACTATTGTATCCCTACCAGAAACGCAGTAATCGGCTCTCAAACACACACCAAGCTCAACAGCCCACAATGGCATGAGGCCATCCCAGCCCAGGTTACACCTAGTTACAAAACCATGCTCTTGTGGGTTTTTTCTGTTCTGCCTGTACATTAAAGCATGTCCCGCTCTACCTTTGTCCCTTATTTAATTTTTTCAATAGTGCAGTTCAAGTTATTGATGGTTCTAGCAAATTTAACTTGGTGTTTGTAGCTAGAGCCGCGCATGGATACAAAATTTTTATCCATAGCCACCAAAATGAGCTGTGGATATCCGCAGCTATGCAGGGTACTAGTTACTCAGCTTGTATCTGCAAAAAGGAACTATGCATGTTAGCATCCATGTGTGGATATGTAAATTTGCAGGGCTCTATAGCAGCACTAAGGTATAAGAGAATTTTACTGAAGGCTATTTGTTCTTTCAGTTGTGCTGTATGGAGACTTAGCATCAGTCCCTGCTCCCTTTAATTTATATGATCTTTCTCATTGGTGGGTGTCTATTTAATGTAAGCTAAGAGCTCAGAAAACACTAAAATATTTTAAAAGGTAGAATTGACACAATCAACATATGATATTTGATCCATCTAGGGTTTTTAGTCTGGTAACCCACTATTTTGAGATCTGCATAAAAATATGGTACAGTCAGCAGTGGTGAGCAATGTGCAGTTCGAGAGGTTTATGTGGCCCACTGGGGTTCCTTGTGTGGCCTACAAGACATTTTGTTTACCACTGTCCACATGCAGAGTTTGTCTGCATAATTTTTTCCTACTGGTTTTACTAAAGTGAGAAGCATAGAGGGAATGTGAAATGAAACGTGTTGATTGCACGTACACTGCCATGTGCTCCCTCTGCATCCAAACAAAACACTTGCACAATTCAATCCGCACACCTTGCAAATTCTAGAGATACAAATGCAGTTAACAAAACTACCCTATCCAGGGATACTGTCTTGACTATGACAGTCTTGCAGCCCAGTGGAATGGAGGGCCTCTCATGCGGCCCACTCACTAGCTTTGGTTGTCCATCACTGAGTTTCTCTAGGGGATAGAGTTTTAAATTATCATCAGGAACTTGTCAGAGCTGCCAATCCATGGCTTGACAGTGGCAAAAGAATAAGTCTTGACACGCTTATTTGTAATAATGATGATTACAACCAATCTCCTTTAACAAAACATACTACATGACTTTTCATGAACTTAATTTTCCATCATGCAGTCTTGACAAACTTATCAAAACAATAAGGCTACGTCTACACTGGTAGCTTCTTGCGCAAGAACTCTTTTGCAGAAGAGTTCTTGCGCAAAAACTCTTCCACAAGAGAGCATCTACACTGGCATGTGCTTTTGCACAAGAGCATCCATTCCAGTGTTGATGCTCTCTTGCGCAAGAAAGTTCTGATGGCCATTTTAACCATAGGGCTTTCTTGCACAAGAAATTCATGTTTGCCTGTCTATACTGGCCTCTTCTGGAAAAGCTCTTGTGCAAGAGGGCTTATTCCTGAGCAGGAGCGTCAGAGTTCTGGCGCAAGAAGCCCTGATTTCATACATTAGAACATCAGGGTACACTGGCTGCGAGTTCTTGCACAAGTAGACAGGCAGCAAGTTTAAGATCGTGCCAATGTAGACATAGCCCAAGTTTTGTATGCAAAGTACAGATTAGATTACACTGGACAACATGCTATTTTACATGTTAGAGGTGTGGAATTTAAGATCACATAATAAACCAGTGCAGCACATTTAGGCTATGTCTACACTCGCGGCTTCTTGCGTGAGTAATATGCAAATGAGGCTAAGCGTGGAATATCGCCGAGCCTCATTTGCATACCTGAGGCTAAGCGTGGAATACCGCTGAGCCTCATTTGCATACCTAATGAGCCACCATTTTTTTTCAGAAGAGGCTCTTGTGCAAGGAGCATCTACACTGCCCCTTCTTGCGCAAGAAAAACCCTCTTACGCAATGCTGTTAAACCTATTACTTTTCAGGAAGAACGGCATTGCGCAAGAGGGTTTTTCTTGCGCAAGAAGGGGCAGTGTAGATGCTCCTTGCACAAGAGCCTCTTCTGAAAAAAAATGGTGGCTCATTAGGTATGCAAATGAGGCTCAGCGGTATTCCACGCTTAGCCTCATTTGCATATTACTCGCGCAAGAAGCTGCAAGTATAGACATAGCCTTACAGTTTGGTGGTAGTGTAGTGACATCAGTAGAAATGTCCCCACTGTAAACAGGTCCTTAGATTAGATGTGTGCATAACTCAAACTCCAAAATCATAAATACATATTAATAGAAAACATTCGCAGTGACAGGTGGTATGAGGAAAACATATTAGGAATGTTGAATTTCAATTAATTTGCTAACCGAATAGTTGATGCATTTTGCATCAACTATTTGATTAGTCGATAAAGGCGCCTCCGCCTTTGAAGTGTAGCAACAGTCCTAGGCCTATTGCAACAGTTCAAAGGCGAAAGTGCTGCAGGCATGGCATTTCAAAGCAGCAGCACCGCATGGAATTCAGGAACTCAGGGTCAGCTGGTGCCAGGCTGCACGCGTCTTTTCAAAGTAGCAGACCCCGGACTCCATGTGTCACTGCCGCTTGGAAGTACTTGCTCTCCGCCCCCCGCTGTCTCTTTCTAATAGTGGCAGCAAGGAGGGAAGCAACTAGTTGACTAGTGTGTCAACTAACTGATAAGTATTTGCTTATCAGATAGTTGATTAATTAACTAGTTCACATCCCTAAAGCATATATGATTGTATTTTGTTGCTTCCAAACATAAGATTCATTTTTAGATACATCTAACTGGATTTTTTCATATTAATCAGTGCAACACCACAAAAGTTATTTCAAAGATCCTTTCAAATTATTGATATAGTTTGATTATTGATTAGAGAATATTTTTGTGCATCCTTGTGTAGCAAGCAGAGAATGCAAAGGAGATTTGTTTATATAATTATAGTGCTATTTTAATTTGATTTTCATTAGGGTTTCCATGGCTATGAAGTACAGAAGCAAAACTGTTCTTGGCTCTTGGTAACACATCAACTCTGTGCAAAAGAGGATGTGGTAAGATGTCAATAATTTACAATGTTTATGCATAAGTACTTGTCCTCCCCTCATTCCAACCCTCGAAAAACTCAATTTCAAATAGGAACTAGAAAACTATTTACATTTTTCCTTCATATTACTGGGGTAAATATGTTCATTTTTGTTAGGACAAAATTCTACCTATGTTAGCGAAACTTGGCAACTTTTTAGCAAGACCATGCTTTAAGCTGGTAAAATGGCTCACTGTAAACAGGCTAGTATCAAACTTTGGGCTCTCTTAAAATTTTGAACTAGAGTACAATATCAGCAGATTACAGAATTCACCATTTTCAGTGGCTATTGGTTAGACATTTTGCATGGCTTGCCCCAGGACCAGCATTTTGTGCTGAGTCTACATTAATATTTTAAGAAGAAAAAAAGCTTATTTAGTGCTTGTGAAGTCCTTTTCTTATCCACAGAATAAAATCAAGTTTCTGGTAAGTGTGCCTCAGTTCTGTATTGAACTATCACTGTGGTAGAAAAAAAAATGTATTTTTGCATCTATGACCATTCATTTAATCCTGGCTGTCTCCACTATGGCAAGAAATATACATGTCAGCTGTAGAGTGACTGGTGCAGACACCTCCAATAGGAATTAGACTGACTCCATAAACTCACTTTCCATAGACTGGACAGTCTTCAAATGTTAACGACTTTGTCATTAGCAGTTTAAATCGAATGGTAGAGTAATGAAATATAAAACATCCCTCTCAAAGGAACAGAGGAGTTGCCAGTTGAATCATACCTAGAGTATATCTAGTTTGTATCTTGCCAGCATCAGATGCTACAGAGGAAGGTGCAAGAGCCCCAAAGTATGCATATGTGAGCTAATCTGGCTCCTTCATTAGGTTTCATCATAAAACCTAATAATCAGAGATTGTGTAAAGCCCTGAAGCACGAAGCTTAATGTCCCTTACAATTTTGTTATTAATTACAATAACTGGATATTTATGTTATCCATGTAATAATCCTTGCAAGAGTTACATATCCTGAACTGTGGATATTCTGTCATGAATGATTGGCTATCCATAGAGCCCTGTGTGGATACATATTTCTACCTGCCGCCAGGGGCAGCCCGACACAAGCTGCCAGCAACTGGCACCCCAGGTGGAATGCGCGATCAGCACTCCCGCCTCCGAGACTAGCTGTCAGCAACTGGCGCCCCAGGTGGAATGCATGTTCAGTGCCTCCGAGACGAGCTGCCGGCAACCGGAGCCCTAGGCGGAATGCGCAATCAGCGTCCCCGCCTACAAAGCCCTCAGTGGCGATGCGTCATCATTGGGCACCCCGTTTAACACGGCGCCCTAGGCGACTGCCGAATCTACCTGTATGCACGGGCCACCCATGCCTGCGGCTAGAAATGAGTATCCTCTGTTCTGCAGGGCTCTACTCCCAAGAACCACAGTGGCCAGATATGATGCCACTACTCCCAGGAGCCAGCACCCCAGGCTGGCAATTCCTCCCAGCTTTGTGGCATCTCCTGACTGGGGTTGTATAACCCCACTGGAAGTGGGCAGGGAGTGGGGGAGATGTACAGCCTTATGGCTGGGAGGAGCTGCACCACATTCGCATTTAGCCACTGTGGTTCTTGGGAGTAGACCCCTGCAGATCAGTGGATACTAATTTCTATCCATGCTCTAACCATGGGGCAGATAAGGAAGCAAAACACAAGTGGACTTCTGTCATTTTCATTAAGAGGCAGGCATGTGTCTTGAAAAAGCATGTTTGTTATTTTGTATGCAGCAGAAACTCTATTGTGAGTTATTTTAACTTTCATTTTAAGAATGAAATACCATAACTTACAACTACACCTGTGAACTAATGCAAAAAGACAATGGTTTTCTTATGCAGTTTAAATTCAATTATATCCTAAAATGAGTTGTGAAACCTAAAATCAAATTAGCTTAAGAAACTATTGAACAATGTAAAGATGCACAAACTACTTCATGCTTCCAGAATTGCTCTTTGCTCTCTACATTCTCCTCTTTACATTTTACCCCCCAAAATGAAACTAGTTATTCTGTAAAAAAGTTAACTGTAAAAAATACATAACAATATTATACATATGCTAACAGATTTACCCAGTGTTGCTAGGTTCTTAACTCAGTTTTTAATAAAAGGAAAATGTAATGTTTTATATATATATATATATATATATATATATTTTAAATGCAATGTTATTTTATGAAGTTATTTTTTATTTCTTAATAAAAGGGATTGTTAATATTTCTCTTACCTTGTTTTAAGCTATGGTAAGAGGAACTGGTATACCATTTAGAAGGAGTTCTTGATCCAGCAGACAAACTCTCTAAAATATAAAGTAGATTTGAATGAAAAAAAATCCCTCTACCTTATTTTTTCTTACTTTACTTGATATCACCTTCATAGAAATCTCAGCAGCCTCTTAATTGCCATCTGCCAGGAGTTGAGTGAGTCTCAGGTACTAGGCAGCGGCCATTAGCAACCCTCTCAATTTTTGTATTGACTTCTGGTAGATATGGTAAAAATGTTCATTCGTGCATCCATTAAATGTGTGAGAAATCTTTACCCGATGACTTTTTAAATTATATTTTCAAACGTACAAAGTGTGCAAAATAAGACTGGAAGTCAGAACTCCTAGATTTCCTGTTGTATTTTCAGTAGACAAGCTACTTAATGCTACTATGCCTCAGTATGTATCTGTCACTGTTAAAATGGGTATAGGAGATTTGATGAGTTTATAGCTCTTTTTAACATCCTTTGAAGAAACGTGTTTTATTACTTTATAAAGCATTCCTTCACAAAAGATTTCTGGGCCTTATTCAACAAAAGAAAACAATTAAAATATAATAATCTTTTAAAATTGCATGAAGTATTATATAAAAATGTTCAAGTAGTGTACAATTTTTCCCTAATCGACTGTGAAAGTAAACTTGCATTGATTTGTCATCTCTGTTCTTTGAAGAATATACAGAAAAAGGTTAGCAGTTATATTCTTATTTATAGGACGCCTATGGGAGTACTGTAAGATGTGCATGGGAAGGCTCTTGCACACTCACAGATTCCTGTTAGAATCCACAGATATATGTAGAGCCCTTCAAATCCACAGATAATCCGCTTTTTATCTGTGGATGCGGTTATCCGCAGCTCATTTTCGCAGGTATGGATGCAGATATGAATACAGATTGTGTCTATAAAGTGGATACCCACAAATCTGCAGGTTTCTATCCTTAGGTATCCATATCCACAGCTCATTTTGTGGATATGAATATGCATATACATTTTGTATCTGTACAAGGGCACTAGATATCTGTGCATACAAAAGGTCCTCCCGCTAGCATCTGTAGTTTGAGACAGAGGGTACGTCTAGACTACATGCCTCTGTCGCCAGAGGCATGTAGATTAGGCTACCGGACATAGGAAAATGAAGCGGCGATTTAAATCAGCTGACCCATAGCCAGTAAACCGTGAAAGTACAACTGCTGTGTCTAATAAATGATTATCACTGATCAGAGATGAGAGTGATACAGAAAAAACTTCCCTTACATCTTATATGGTAAAGTTCCATAAAGATTTGCAAAGAAAAATTTTGTCATGTTTTACTGAGCATGAAGAGTGTAGCTCACTGCCTCAGAGACCATGATGCAGTCTCTGCTCCAAGAAACTTGCATTCTAAGGGTACGTCTAGACTACATGCCTCTGTCGCCAGAGGCATGTAGATTAGGCTACCGGACATAGGAAAATGAAGCGGCGATTTAAATAATCGCCGCTTCATTTAAATTTACATGGCTGCCACGCTGAGCCGACAAACAGCTGAGCAGCTGTTTGTCGGCTCAGCGTGATAGTCTGGACACGCGGGTGTCGACATCAAAGGCATTTGTCGACCACCCAGATATGCCTCCTGGGATGAGGTTTACCTGGGTGGTCGACAAATGCCTTTGATGTCGACACCCGTGCGTCCAGACTACCGCGGTGAGCCGACAAACAGCTGCTCAGCTGTTTGTCGGCTCAGCGTGGCAGCCATGTAAATTTAAATGAAGCGGCGATTATTTAAATAGCCGCTTCATTTTCCTATGTCCGGTAGCCTAATCTACATGCCTCTGGCGACAGAGGCATGTAGTCTAGACGTACCCTTAGAATGCAAGTTTCTTGGAGCAGAGACTGCATCATGGTCTCTGAGGCAGTGAGCTACACTCTTCATGCTCAGTAAAACATGACAAAATTTTTCTTTGCAAATCTTTATGGAACTTTACCATATAAGATGTAAGGGAAGTTTTTTCTGTATCACTCTCATCTCTTATCAGTGATAATCATTTATTAGACACAGCAGTTGTACTTTCACGGTTTACTGGCTATGGGTCTGATCCAACTTCCACTGGGAGTTTTGCCATTGACTCCATTTGGAGCAGGGCTGAGTCTCAGACTTTGTAGGCTTAATAGAAAATTACTTTCAGTATTTCCTTATTACATTCTGAACCTTTCGCAAGAAATTGGTGGTCTAAAAGTAATAAGGTAAAATCCTTTGGTCACAATTATTTCATTTAGTAAGCATTTTGGTGCAACAGGGAATGCAAGTAACTCACTGCAGCCTTGGGGCATGCTAGCATACACAGACCATTTCAGTCAGTATGACTTTTTTGCCTCTTAACTATCACTGAAAACAATGTCCCTAGAGCAGGCATGTCCAAAGTCCGGCCCGCGGGCCAATTGCGGCCCGTGTTCCGGTTTAATACGGCCCCACAGGTAATTTGGCAATATCTATCTTTTATGGCCCCCAACGAATCCATATGTATTGAGATGAATACATTGTAAAATCTCAGTTAATGTCAGTTGGTCTAAATCAGTTATAAATATATTTGGACACAACATGTATACTTGGTGTTATGTTCCTGTTCATATTTTTTGAACTTAAAAGTTGACAGACAACCTTTATTACCAATAATATGTAATGTACTTTACAATGTTCCTGACATATATTTCAGCTTCCTGGATTTTTTTTTCATCTGGCCTTCAGATATGAAAGGCAGAGTGATTTAACACCTGTTTAGATTTGTCATCCATGTGACGAAATGAAAAGTATGCCGTTTGCAATAAACTTTGCATAAAATAGTTAATTTGCATTTAATTTTAATGGTTCAAAGAATGTCAGGCAAAATGGTCGGCCCTCACGCATGTTCACTTCATCAAATCTGGCCCTCTTTGAAAAAAGTTTGGACACTCCTGCCCTAGAGTAATACACCCACCAACATTACATACTCTGATCACAGTTAAAATTAGATTCTGTTATAACACTTGTCTCTGAGACAAGTCTGTCTACCTTGGCTTCCTAATACATTGAACACTAGTCAATTGTGCCAATGCAGCATATTGTTTATATAACTGGGGGGGTGGGGTAGAACTGAATTTTCAGTCATGGAAAAATCCATATGTAAGCCCACTTGAAGCCCCATGGAAGCCAGTGGAGCTCATGCAGGCACAGCAGTTAACCTGTGTGCTATAAAATGCAGGTTTGGGGCATCTAGTTGTTAAGTATTGCGTATCCCCACTTCCCATTGGCTCCAATAGTATTAATGGGTGCTTAGGACATCTAAAAATGAAGTGATGTATTTAGGTGCCTAACTTTAGGCACCCGTACTTGTAAGATTTATACCTTAATAACAAGACTAGTTACCAAAAGAGAATGCAACACAAGAACATTTCAATCTTGTACAATATTCTAAGGGGAAAAATAGGCTCCTCAACAGTTTTATTTTTCACCACTATTACTGGTATCTTAAACTAACAGTTGCATTTTTCAGTTTCAAATTATAAAAAGGATTAAAGAAACAATTTGAGTTTAGAGGAAGTATTAGGGAAGGATGTTAGCCTTCCCTTCCCCACATAAACCGCACAGTGCAACAGTTCAATTTTTTTCCTAAATATAAGTATAGCAAATTGGTAGCTAGTAGTATTTTCTTGGATTTGGGGAGGCAATTTGATTAGATACAAGGACACTAGATGATAATAGAAGAGATAGTATTCTAATAGTAGAATGTAGGCAATGAAAAATGTAGCTTTTTCAACTTAGCTGTTATAAACTAAACCCAATAATATCAATCCTTAAGTTTATTTTACCTAAACATAACGTACAATAATAAATCATAATTGAATACTATGCAGCATTTTGTTTAATTGTTCTATGTTCATACTTGCCTAACATGAAAAATGCTGCAGGAAAATTTTCCACTTAGAGCCCTAAGGCAAAACTGGGACCATAGGATGAAATTCATCCTTTAGAAATTATTAAAGCAATGTAACTGATACCTGTTTTTCCCCCTTTGTGTCCCTCATGAGTTTAACTTTAGTTTATACATCTTTTTATTTTTTCTTATTTTAACATTATCAGCTGTACATAATGAATCAGTTATGAAACCTGATAGATGATCCCTGTCTATCAGGGATGGTGTAGTCAGTACTTGGTCCTGCTATGAGGGCAGGGGACTGGACTCGATGACCTCTCAAGGTCCCTTCCAGTCCTAGTATTCTATGAAACCTAGATTAAAATAAGGTCAAGTAGTTCAGGACACAAGTTTAGCCTTATGTACCTTTTTAAGAGGAATGTACTTCAGTATCAGTATGTCCCTGTTCGTATCCAATAACATAAGAAATAAAAAACAGTAGTATTAATATTTTGTGCGCTCAAGTTTTCTCTGCTGACTGCAGTTAAACACCATTCTCTATGCAGTGCCAACATCATTGGGTGTTTTTATGTCCAAAATAATGAAACAGGGAAGAAAATCTGTTTAATACTTAGGTTAAAAATCACTGGAGATTTTGAGCATTATGATCAATGGGAAGTTAAAAGCAATTAAATAATAAAGCATGATTTTTTGAGCCCAGTCATTTCTGGTACCTTTAAACCATTTCATAAATTAGCTGTTTTATTTCAAAATGTTAATATTGTAATAAGCAGTTCACCTTTGTAGTATTAATATATTGACATTCATTGTATTTTCCAGATGACAGCATTACAGAAAGCCACTGGTGACACTGTATTCAAATTTGAACCATTCATTCTTCATGTGCAGTGTCAAGAGTTGCAGGATGCACAGCTTCTGGTAAAATTAGATCTATCATAGAATCATAGAATAATAGGACTGGAAGGGACCTCGAGAGGTCATCGAGTCCAGCCCCCCGCCCTCAAGGCAGGATCAAGCTCCGTCTACACCATCCCTGACAGATGTCTATCTAACCTGTTCTTAAATATCTCCAGAGAGGGAGATTCCACCACCTCCCTTGGCAATTTATTCCAATATTTGACCACCCTGACAGTTAGGAATGTTTTCCTAATGTCCAATCTAAACCTCCCCTGCTGCACTTTAAGCCCATTACTCCATGTCCTGTCCTCAGAAACCAAGAGGAACAAATTTTCTCCTTCCTCCTTGTGACACCCTTTTAGATATTTGAAAACCACTATCATGTCCCCCCTTAATCTTCTTTTTTCCAAACTAAACAAGCCCAGTTCATGAAGCCTGGCTTCATAGGCTTCTCTAGACCTTTAATCATTCTTGTCGCTCTTCTCTGTACCCTTTCCAATTTCTCCACATCTTTCTTGAAATGTGGCGCCCAGAACTGGACACAGTACTCCAGCTGAGGCCTAACTAGCGCAGAGTAGAGCGGCAGAATGACTTCACGAGTTTTGCTTACAACACACCTGTTAATACAACCTAGAATCATATTTGCTTTTTTTGCAACAGCATCACACTGTTGACTCATATTCAACTTGTGGTCCACTATGACCCCTAGATCCCTTTCCGCCATGCTCCTTCCTAGACAGTCGCTTCCCATCTTGTATGTATGGAACTGATTGTTCCTTCCTAAGTGGAGCACTTTGCATTTCTCTCTATTAAACCTCATCCTGTTTACCTCCGACCATTTCTCTAACTTGCTAAGGTCATTTTGAATTATGTCCCTATCCTCCAAAGAAGTCGCAACCCCACCCAGTTTGGTATCATCTGCAAACTTAATAAGAGTACTCTCTATCCCAATATCTACATCATTGATGAAGATATTGAACAGTACGGGTCCCAAAACAGACCCTTGAGGAACTCCACTTGTTATCCCTTTCCAGCAGGATTTAGAACCGTTAACAACAACTCTCTGACTACGGTTATCCAGCCAATTATGCACCCACCTTATCGTGGCCCTATCTAAGTTATATTTGCCTAGTTTATCAATAAGAATATCATGCGAGACCGTATCAAATGCCTTACTAAAGTCTAGGTATATGACATCCACCGCTTCTCCCTTATCCACAAGGCTCGTTATCTTATCAAAGAAAGCTATCAGATTAGTTTGGCATGACTTGTTCTTCACAAACCCATGCTGGCTATTCCCTATCACTTTATTACCTTCCAAGTGTTTGCATATGATTTCCTTAATTACCTGCTCCATTATCTTCCCTGGGACAGACGTTAAACTGACCGGTCTATAATTTCCTGGGTTGTTCTTATTCCCCTTTTTATAGATGGGCACAATATTTGCCCTTTTCCAGTCTTCTGGAATCTCCCCTGTCTGCCATGATTTTTCAAAGATCATAGCTAAAGGCTCAGATACCTCCTCTATCAGCTCCTTGAGTATCCTGGGATGCATTTCATCAGGACCTGGTGACTTGCTGACATCTAACTTTCCTAAGTGATTTTTAACTTGTTCTTTGTGTATCCTATCTTCTAAACTTACCCTCTCTCTGCTTGTATTCACTACGTTAGGCACACCTCCAGACTTCTCGGTGAAGACCGAAACAAAGAAGTCATTGAGCATCTCCGCCATTTCCAAGTTCCCTGTTACTGCTTCTCCCTCCTCACTAAGCAGTGGGCCTACCCTGTCCTTGGTCTTCCTCTTGCTTTTAATGTATTTATAAAAGGTCTTCTTGTTTCCCTTTATGCCTGTAGCTAGTTTGATCTCATTTTGTGCCTTTGCCTTTCTAATCTTGCCCCTGCATTCCCGTGTTGCTTGCCTATATTCATCCTTTGTTAGTTGTCCTAGTTTCCATTTTTTATATGACTCCTTTTTTATTTTGAGATCATGCAAGATATGTTTTTGTTGTTGTTGCTATATAAGTAAAGTATTGGCACCTGACTATCTTAACAGTTCGAGATCAGCTCAAGAGCACTGTATGTTTAATAACTGGAGTAGTAATAGTATCTTGATGAGAAAATAGGGATTTAGATTCTTTCTGCAAATTTTGCTTTGCTTTCTAGAAAATGAAATCACTTAAATGCACTTCAGTCTTCTTAGTAGAGGCAAGTTGACTAGAGAGAGTCTGAATTATCTGTGCTGCTTTCCCTGGCCTATGGCAGTGTTCTTTAGAAATTAATTCACTTCTGACTGTGACCATTTGCTCCCAGATTTTAGGTAAGTGGATAATGCTGTGCCTTCTGCCTTTCAGAAGGGGCTCTGTAGGCCTACACATGATTTTGTTCCCTATCTTCACTCTACCTTGGTTCATATGGAAGAGGAAATGGTTATTTAGATTCTTTCTACAAAACATCAAGTAATCTTGTGGCACCTTAGGGCATGTCTACACTAGGAAATAATACCTTCCGAAATAATTATTTAAAAATAGCTCATTCACACTACAGGGAAGCCTCAAAATGAGTCTGAGGCAGGCTCCCTTAATGTGGATGTGCTACATGGAAGCCCACTGGAGCCCTAGGAAGCACTGGGGAGTAATTACTTTGAAACTGTAGCAGTGGAGCATCCACACTATCACTATTTTGAAATAAGCGTTATTACTCATGGAAAGTAGGAGTTATTTCAAAATATTGGGCTTGATAGTATGGACGCTCTACTTTTTATTTCAAAATAACTCCCCATGTAGACCAGGGCTTAGAAACTAACAAAAATATATTCATCCCATACTTGTATTCTTTGGCTAGCAGCTATTTAAACTGGAACATTATAGTGCCAAAAAAGGAATGAACTTCTTCTTTGTGTTGATTGAATGGGTCCAGACACAAACCACCATCTGTTTTTGTCACTGAAATTTAATTTAAAAATATTTTGTTACGATATTAGCATTTGATCCTGTAAACACTTACTAGTGATTGTAGCTCTTAATGCAGTCAGTTGGGGCTATGCCCTTTAGGTTTTTGAAAAATTGGGGCCTTAATTTGCAATATTATTCACAGTAAGCTTTCAGTCTGACAAAATGTGTGTTAACTGCCACTTAAAATGTTTTTGTTTCACAGCATTCCGTGGCTATAGATTCTGGATTCAGGAACTCTGGTATTACAGTTGGCAAGAGAGGTAAAATTATGATGGTATGCACTATTTTTCTACTTTGCTATATAATTTAGCAATTATTCATTAACATGAGCACTTTTTAAATATTTGGATAATTTTTAAATGACACTTTGACGTGACACATCACGTTCCTCACAAAGAAATATAATCAGGTCTTTTCAGGTGGCTTTCCTATAACAAATGCACTTACTATTTAGACCTATTGTCTGCTTCCTAATGTAATTCAAATTAATACATCTGTGTGTACCTCTAGGCTGTCCGGAGTACTCATTGCTTAGAAGTTCCATTAAATCACATGGGGAAACTGATGGTCACCGAAGAATATATTGACTTTCTGGTACAGATAGCTAATCGGAAAATGGAAGAGAACATGAAGAGGATTGATAGGTTTGTTAGATTATGTATATCTTGTGACACGACATCTAAATCCAGAGAAGTGTAAAATGTATTCACTAAACAGTGGTCCAGGAAGACTAGCCACAAAAAATAACAGTAATTGGTTTTGTTTTAAATTATAGATGACCCCAAAGGATCGTTTAACCAAATATACGCAACATTATCAGGTAGTGAAGAGTAAATTTTTGTTAAAGCTCATATAACTTAACAACTGTTGCTCCAGATATATATCATGAATAGCACACTGAGTTCTAGTTTTAGAGTATTAACTTCCACAGCTGCACTTTCATGTGGGGTTTGTGTTTGATTAGATTTTACAGTGTCTAAGGACAGGATTCGTATTTTGATTGTCAGGAATATCTCATTTTATTCTACAGGGATTTACACATAGTTTCATATGATTAAAATGTACTCTATAACATTGTTGTGCAAAATTTAATCTGAGGTTCCCAAACTGTGGTCTGTGGAACTCTTGCTGGTTGTCTATGGATAGGTGACTACAGGTTGGACCTGGATGAGGGATGTCTTATTGGCCCCCCTGTTCCCGGCTCGCCCCAGCGCTAAACTGGCCACAGGCCCAATTGTCCTGACGGGTCTGTGCCACTCACCTGCCATGCTAGGCAACCCAGCTCACAGCATGCTGGACTCCTATCCCTCCAAGCAACTCAGCTAGGGCATGCTGAGCAGCCCGGCTGCAGTATCCTGGGTTCCCAGCTCCACTAGGCAGCTCTGCTGGGGCATGCCCAGCTTCTCAGCTGTGGGGATCTAGGCTCCTGGACTCATGGGTAGCTTGCTCCCAGCAGCCAGCAACCCTGCCAGTCCACAGAGCTCCGAGGCACCAGCATTCCACCAGGACTCTCTGGTCCTGGAACATCCTTGGTCATGCCAGACCACAGATGTTGCTGGACCAAAGAGTCCCAGTTTACAAAGGATCAATCTGTAGTTACACAGTACTGGCTTTTCTACTCATTTTCAGTTGTGAGAAACAGAATAGAGAGGGCAGTCACAAGAAATAAAAAGCAAAAGGCTACAGGACAAAATCATTGCACCAGTGACAGTTAAAAATTTATAGATATTTTCTCAATTTTTTCTGAATCAGTTACTCTTGTTTCTGTGTGGATATCAAAGTAATTGCAAATGAGAGTGATGGTGGTGCATCTGATCATGAATAGGATTGACCATTACATGCTACTAAGATGTGATGCAAACCATAAAAGTGTTTTAGATCATTTGTTGTGTAGTTTTCAGCAATATGAATGGGACTTTGATTAGCCTTATGGCACGACTGCCAATTAGTTTCTTACAAGGTCGGAGATTAGAGAATGGACAGAGCATGTGCTGGCGTTCCTGATCTCCCTCACAATACTGATCGGGGCTGCATTTGGATTTTAGTTTAAGATTGCATGAAACATTATAAGCAACATTTTGTGTTGTCAAAGTGTTAATGTTCTGTCTGCAGAACTTAAGCAAACATAATACATATATACTTGTTCCTTTCTAGGTTTTACAACTGCCTACAGTTAGCTTTGAAAAATGAACTCAGTATGAGTAATTCACCTCTTGAAATGATACAAAAGTCTCATTCTGTGTACACTCACAGAAGAAAAAGAAAACCAGATAAAGATCCTGGGACATACACTTCTCCAGAGAATAAGGAAGAGTCAGAAACCGAAGATGACCCAGAAACCAATCTCAATTTTTTTTGCTGAAGTCTATTGATACAGGATGAGACCTATTTTCTCATATAGGTGTAGTTCTGTGAACACAGATTGCTAGCTTTAATAGTACTTATCTTGTCCTGCTCTTTATAAGAGCTATTTATACTGTTGTGTTCTAGGAAATTATACTGTCCTGAAAATTTACCCTGAAGATTGTGTTCACTTAAGCAATTCAGGAAAGTAGAATTATAAAATGTCCTTTGATTTGCAGAAAAACATCACCTAAGCATGGAGAACAGAAATATAGAAGCATATTGAAATTATGAAATATATGTTAACGGTGAACAGAACAGCTGACAGCTTTAATGTGTACAGAGGTGTACCTCAAACCATGTTTGATAATCTCTAATAAAAGATTGATTTTCTATATGTATTTTCCTAGTCTAAAATACTAAACACAAGAGACCAAGTCTGAGAATATGAAAACCCTATCTTAGAGAAGTGTCCATTTTTTGTTCTTCCATCTTCACTTCTCTCCCGAATGCTGCTTCTTGAAGCAAAAGCTTTTGTGTGTTACTGAAATAAATACAGTCGAGCCAGAGATTAATTTAATCCACTGTGACAGATTCAGTGCGTAGTGCAGCAAAGTAGCATGCTGTTAGGGAGTCTGTTGAACTAATCGGCCTATGACTTGGCCTAAGTTAAAGCAACCAAGGAGTTTCTGTAATTTGCCCCAACTATCTGTAGTCTGTTAAAGATTTGTCAGACAGCTGAATAATTATTTAAGAAAATTACTAGTATTTAATAATGCCTTTTGGAAGTTATAGTCAACAAAAATAAACTTACTTATTTTGAAGCAAAGTATGTAACCTCCCAGTGGTACATACAGCACTTCAGAGTTAATGCACTGAGTTTCAAAAGGAGCCCCCATTACAGAATGCAGATCCGTTGTCTGTCTTGCGGGGTGCTGGAAGGAGCTCTCTTTCAGAAATGGTTTTAAAATTGACATAACAAATAGACATTAATGAACTTTCTAAGTTATATGTTGGCTAATAATATATACTTAATGTTTAAATAAAAATAGAGATTCTTAGGCTATTACAATTTATATGATCATACATTTGAACATGGAGCGGGGAAAGTGGTGCTTGTTTTTCATTAAGCTATAGTTCTTTAGTTGATAATTGATTAAACAATTCTGAGTTATTACTTCAGTTATGAAACTTATCAATTACCCTGTCAGGAGAGCTGTGCTGAGGAAATGGTTTATTTTGGGGATGGTAGTGCTCTGAGGTCATTGTAGTTAAGGAGCGGTCATTGTTTCCGTTACATAAACCTGTGTCTTCAGGGGATTTTAATTCGACTGGAGAAGTGTGCTTCTAGCTAAAATTTGTCATACTAGGTCCCAGTCCAGGGGTAAAATGAGACTGGTCTTTTAATAGATTTAAAAATAAGTCTATTAGGGTGTGTTTTCAGTATCAGGATTGCCAAGAAAAATAGATATGAGCCTGTATGTGTATGTTTGGGCTCCTCTAACAACTTTGCTCATCTCCACAGCTGTGTGTAATAGAAACCCAATGCCCAGTCACAAAAAATAATACTGGCCCACCACCTGCTTCTGGAATGGGGAAAAGAGGAGCCAGCCAGTTACCAGCCTTCTTGCCAGAGGATTGCCATTGATCATACTTTGGGGGCTCCCAGATGAGATGGAAGTTGGCCTAATGCTATCCTTAGAGGTTGACTGCATGCAGAAATAGCACCTTCTTTTTGGCAAGGTCTTTAGCTTTTTAGTTTTCATGCCCTCTGGAGGGGGAAATTAGGAAGGTAGGATTTTATAGCTATCAAATTTGACAAGGTCCAGAGCATTGTTTTTATTATTTCTTTTAAGGCAGTGGTTTTCAAACTTTTTAGGCTGTATTTCTCTTTCCACTGCATACTCCCATCTGAACTAATATATAATTACCTGAATAGATTACCAAGTCTTATTAAATAAAATATGTTGTCTAGCATTACAGGATTTTTCTCATGTACCTCCTGACATGAGTTTTCATATCCCAGTTTGAAAACCACTGCTTTAGGACATTGCATTCTAGTGTAAGGTCCTAGAACCACGGCACCAGAGACTGAATCACAGAAGTATAGCAAGACCAATATTCATTCATCAGTAGCAGTACAGACTTCAGCTGGTAGCTCCTATTCACCTTACACTTGATTTAGAGGAATGAGAGTGTATACTAAAGATGTTAAATATCGACTAATTGACTAATCAAATAGTTGATGCATTTTGCATCGACTATTCGATTAGTTGATAGGGCAATTCTGCCTTTGAAGTGTAGCAACAGCCTTAGTGCTGTTGCTACACTTCAAAGGCAAAAGCGCCATATGGAGCCTGGGATCAGCTTGGGACTCCAGCTGATCCTGGGCTACACATGGCACTGCCGCTTTGAAATGCCATGAGGAGCCCAGGTGTTTCAAAGCGGCAGTGCTGCACAGAGCCCAGGGTCAGTAGGGGAGTCCCCAACTGATCCCGGGCTCCACGTGGCACTGTAACTTTGAAACACCATGAGGAGCCTGATGCCAGGTGCTATACAGAACCTCCAGCTGATCCCAGGTTCCAGGTGGTACTGCCTCTTTGAAATGCCACGTGCAGCCTGGGGACATCCCAGCTGGCCCCAGGCGACATGCAGCATTTCAAAGCAGCAACACTGCATGGAGCCCGAAGTCTGGCCCTGGGCTTCAAGCAGCGCTGCCACTTCGAAGCACCCCGTCTCTTCCCGCCCCCCCCCGCATCCCCGTTTCCACCTCTTTCTGATAGAGGCAGCGTGTGGGGGAGAAGTGACTAGTCGACTACCTTGTCGACTATCGTATAAGCATTTGCTTATCGGATAGTTGACTAGTCCTTCACATCCCTAGTGTACGAACAGCTTCATGAGCCAATTGTGGGAGTGAGGGTTGGCAGGATATGCCCTGACAAGCTAGAGGAACTGGGGAGGGAGAGCAGCCACACCAAACTGCTAGTTTGCTAGGGCCAGTGGTATTCCCTCTGCACCAGGAAGGGAGAAAACTAACAACTCTGCAAATTCCATTGTGCGGGGAAAAAAAGCAGCAGCAGCAGCCCCTCAGTGGATATTGTGCTAGTGGAAATGGGGACAAAAGCCCAAGAAATTACTGAAGATGCAGGAAGGAGATGGAAATAGCTCCAGAAAGAAAGGACAGCACCCCTATCGCCTCCTCTGTGCAGGTCCAGAGTTTTACTGTTTTGTTAGATAAGCCACTTCCATCAATACAATAGTTACATATCAATTGTCTTCTGCCTTAAGCATTCAACATGCCAATATTAATACAATCTTTGTTTCCGTACTGGAGCACAGCTACATTCTTCTTTGAAGTCAGTTATGTGCTGTCCAGCATGTTCTAACAACTATCAGAAACAGGTGCTTCAGCAAAACAGGATATGTTTATAAATTCACATATCTGGTGACTGGATAGAAATCTACAGAAGACAGATTAGGCTCTGTACTATTATATGTTAGAGTTATACAACAGGCCACTAGGTGGTAGGGTGCTACATATAGTCAACACTGAACAGTGTTTCAGCTTCAGAACTTAGATGAAGTTTTATTTGCTTATGTAGCTACTAGCTTGTGCCTAAACAAGGTCTATACACCCCCCCCCCCTTTTTAAGGTCTTTAGAAAATGGTCTTGCACTCACAATGTTGTGAAAACCATGACCATGTTCTAAATTAAATGCAGTTTCTAAATTGAAAAAAATCTTAAATTTCAGCTACATCAGTTTCTATGCCATGAACATATAGCATTTCCACATGCCCTAAAACAGACATTTTGTACATCTAGCACCTTTTTACAGTCCTATTTGAAAGACAAAATATAGACCTGCAAAAGATTGGGTTAAAATTAACCCATATCAGACTAGATGCTAGTCCAAAGACTTATATACACCTGAGAATCCTTGGGAGGCTATTTGCAAAATACAGTGCATCTTATGAGTTGCCAGTGTTTGCTCATAACTGCAGTCACTTGGGCTGTGTCTACACTGGCACCCTTTTCCGGAAATGCTTAAAACGGAACAGTTTTCCGTTATCAGTATTTCTGGAAAAAGAGCGTTTACTTTGGCAGGATGCTTTTCTGGAAAAGCCCTTTTTCCGGAAAAGCGTCCGTGGCCAACGTAGACGCGCTTTTCCGGAAAAAAAGCCCCGATCGTCATTTTCGCGATCAGGGCTTTTTTCCGGAAAAGACTACTGTGCTGTCTACACTGGCCCTTTTCCGGAACAGTTTTCTGGAAAAAGGACTTTTGCCCGAGTGGGAGCAGCATAGTTTTTCCGGAAAAGCAGCTGATTTCTTACAGTAAATCGTCACTGCTTTTCCGGAAATTCAAGGGGCCAGTGTAGACAGCTCGCAGCTTATTCCGGAAAAGCGGCTGCTTTTCCGGAATAAGTGGCCCAGTGTAGACACAGCCTTGGTGTGCTTGTATTACTAAAATGCATTTTAAAGTGTTTTCATATTTTATATTATATATTAAAAGTACTTCAGCACATGTGGATTTGGGTTAGCGGTCCAAAACTTGTACTGCTTTTACAAAGTTCATTTGCCTTTACAAATTCTCCTGAGATGACATTTACCCTATATTACAGAGACTGTAAAAAACTATATACAGTCCAGATAAAGTTATGCATGTGGCACCTCTTGGTGCAACCCCTGCCCATAACACAGAAGGTTTGTCTGGAAGCAAGGTACAGGAGGGGACGTTGGGAGCTCTGCCTTCACAGATCCTAAGTCATCACATAGGGGGCATGGAAGGGCAGAGGTCACTACTCCAATTGCCACATGGAGCTGTGATAATTTACACCAGTGAAGCTCCCTCCCTATAAGCATATAATGAGAATAAGCTCTTTTATTCTTTACATACACTGCAGCAGCTTGGTGTCAGGTGAAAAGTGCCTCTCTGTGGCCATTACAGCTCCAAGTGGGCATAGCTAAGTAGGGATGCATGACCCCCAACTGAGGCAGCTCCAGGTTTGTCTGCCTTCCGTGTTGCTCAGCCAGACTGGGGAATGCAGCAAACTCTGCACTTCCCCTTGCTTCCTGGCAAAAGGGAACAGCCAGCAATGTACACATAGGAATGGGGAGGGGAGCTTCAGTGCCTTCTTCCCCCCCTCCCCCAATCTTCCCTAAACAATGCCTAGGGGGTGGGAGGTCCAGGGCTGGAGCAGTCCCACGTGGTGGAGGGATGACCCTCAGCCAGTCCCTTTCACCTGCCATTTTCCTGGCAAAACCAAACCCTCACCTTGCTTTAGGTTATGATAAGAGGAAGCTGTATACCAAATTTGGTGGCCCTAGCTCATCATTTAGGAGGCATTCTTGAAAAAGAGAGAGATAGACGGACACAAACTCTCTCAAATATATAGT